GTAGAGGACATATATATATATATATATATTATTGGTTTTATGTCTATTATTCTATTTAACCCGCACTTTTGGTCTCCTATTAAATGCTCTTCAGTGGAAATTACATTTGCTCAGCTATGCTATTATGCTAAAACTAATAATGATTTTTATCTTTTATTTTTAATTTTTTTTCTGATGTACATGAATGAATTAAACAATTGATATTCTGCCAAATTATAACTTGGGTTGTCTAGTTTGGAGTTGGGCCATCATTTTTTATGTGATTGTTGGATATCTTGCATCTGAATACTCTTATTCTCGATCTTGTATTAATTATCATTATGGAATCATTAAAATTTCTTATATTTTTTCGATCCTTTTTGGGAAACTTTAATTTGTTCAATTGGAATGACATTTTTTGCTAAGCAGATCCTTTATCACCTTTTTTTTCTATATTGTGCTATATGCATTATGGATGAAAAATTATGCCTACTTACTATTTCTGAAGATATGTTAGTCATGTGTTGTTGACATTATTCTTTCTACGGCCAACCTTTCAATTACTGTCATGATGAGGTTTTGTTAATGATGGGTTATGCGCTTTAATAATTGTTGACATATAAAACCATAAACCTTGGATGAAGTCCCTTTTTGATAACTAACAGTAAACACAAGGATTTTTCGAACTCATACTTTTGTTTTCCTTAATTGTTTTGTTTCCTTTTTTACGTGTAGGTTAATTTTACTTATTGGTTATTTTACTCCTTATAAGTTTCTTATCCCGAGATCCATATGTCTTCTCTTATTTTTCTATTTTTGAATCCATTCAAATATGCCCTCTTGTATCAATGAAATGCTAAATGTTTGGCATGATCTTCAAATTTTTTTTTTTCAAAAAATAATCTCTCTCTTAAGGTCTATTTGAGACAACTGTAGCTATTTGAAGAAGCACTTGCCGAAGAAACCGTTTTAAAAGTTGTGATGACTATTACAAATTTCTTTTATTTTGAAAACATCAGACTGCAACTTTCTGGCAGTCATCGCAGTTAATCAGATCAAGTTGTAAAACACAACTTCCAATCGTAACTTTTCAAAATAAAAGAAAACATAGTTTTGCCAAATAACTCAAAATACTATGCAGCAAAATACGGTGCAGCACTATGCTGCCACTGTATCACTTTGCCAAATAGAACCTTAATTTTTTCTTCAAATCCATTTTTTAAGATGATTGAGATTTTTTGTCGAACATTTCATTTGTTTTTTTTTAATATTTCCTTTAAATAACTTATAAAATATGTTTCCCTAAAAAAAAATTTGAAAACAAAATTTGAAAAATAAAAAGAAAATTATCTCAAAAAAAAAAATCAAAATAAGAAGATTTTGAAAAAACGGAGGTTGAATTATTGATTATATAATAAAATATACATTAATATATATTTTATTTAATGATTTTTTCAAAAATACTAACTTTTAATGAAAAAAAAAACTCCGTAGAAGATAAAACCAAATACCAAACTATTCAACTACAAATAAATGAATGTACCCAGCCATAAATCAAGATTCAGAACTTTATCGTTAACTACAGACATACATACATACATATACATACATACATACATATA